ACAGCTCAAGGAACTCCCCCCGCCCCCCAAAAAACTTGGCGCGTTCAGGGTGGTGAGGGCTGAGCGTGCTCTGGGATGGGGAAACTGAGGCACGGGGCRGCGACAGCGACAAGGGACATGCCCGAGCTGTTCACCCGCTCCGTGTGGGACATTTCCAAGCTCCCCCTCCCCCAATTCCCGGCGCGTCACCGTGCCTCAGTTTCCCCAGAGCCACCCCACACGCACGGTGACCGTCCCCTCCTCTCCGCCGCCGCCGTGAATGGGTCCCTTTTTGTCACCCCCTCCCTCTGCCGTGTCCCCCTCCCCGCCGCGCCCCCTCCTGCCCGTGCCCCCCTCTTCCCGCCGCCTTTTCTTTTCTTTTCCCACACAATCGCTGGCATTTATGGCGCCGGAGGCTCCGGTTACCCCGCGCCCGCTCGGTGTCACCGCGCAGGATGGGGGACGGTGACACCGGACCCCCCGCTCGGTGTCTCAGGAGCCCGAGGCAGCGACACTGCCACCCCCGGGTCCCCAAACCCCACCCGGCGGGGGTGGATTCTCAGATAAACACCGAGCCCTTCCCCCCGCGTGTTTTTTTGGGGTCCCCCCTCCTCCCTCCGGCGCTTGGGGACGTTAAATTTGGTGGCTTTCGGGTGCTGTGTGACAAACCGGCCAGAAAGGGCTCATTTCCTGCTTGTTGGGGACACCGTGGTGACAACTGGGTGTCACTGGGAGCTGTGGCACTGCGGGGACAGATTTGGATGTCCCTGAGATTGTGAGGACAATCCCAGGGGTTGTGACACCCTGGGGACAGGGTCAGTTGTCCCCAAGGGCTGTGACACCAAGGTCAGGTCCCACTGCGGTCACCCCCCGCCCGAGGGCTGTGACACAGCGGGGTCGGGGGCAGATGTCCCCAGGGGTTGTGACACCGCCAGGGGACCGGGRTGGGGGCAGCTCCGGGTGTCACCCGGGGCTGGTGGCACCACAGAGGGGCTGGCGACAATTCCCCGMGCTGGCACCGCCACCCCCGGCCCCGCACAATGTCACCCGCGCTGTGTCCCCGCGGGGGAGGAGGGCGCCGCTTCGATCTCTCCCGGCTCCCGTGGAATTAATGATCAATTAATTCCCTGCCCGGCTGCTAATTACCCAGCGCGGCCGCAGCCCCTGGGGGACCGGGACGGGGACAGGGCGGGGGTGGCGCTGGTGGCAGGACGGTGGCGTTGGTGCTGTGACGCTCCCATGTGTCCCCGGGGCTTTTCCAGCGCACCCCGGTGGCGTTTGGAGAAGGGGAAGAGCCTCTCTTGTCCCCGTGTCCCCGTGTCCAGGTGTCCATCCTCATGTCCCCGTGTCCCCCTGTCCCTGTGTCACTCTGTCCAGGTGTCCATCCTCATGTCCCCGTGTCCCCCCGTCCCCGTGTCCCTGTGTCCAGGTGTCCATCCTCATGTCCCCGTGTCCCCCCATCCCTGTGTCCCTCTGTCCAGGTGTCCATCCTCATGTCCCCGTGTCCCCCCGTCCCCGTGTCCCTGTGTCCAGGTGTCCATCCTCATGTCCCCGTGTCCCCCTGTCCCTCTGTCCAGGTGTCCATCCTCATGTCCCCGTGTGCCCCTGTCCCTGTGTCCCTCTGTCCAGGTGTCCATCCTCATGTCCCCGTGTGCCCCTGTCCCTGTGTCCCTCTGTCCAGGTGTCCATCCTCATGTCCCCGTGTCCCTGTGTCCCTCTGTCCAGGTGTCCATCCTCTTGTACCCGTGTCCCTGTGCCACTCTGTCCAGGTGTCCCCATCCTCATGTCCCCGTGTCCCCGTGTCCCTGTGTCCCTCTGTCCAGGTGTCCCCATCCTCATGTCGTCATGTCCCCGTGTCCCCCCATCCCCCTGTCCCTCTGTCCAGGTGTCCATCCTCTTGTCCCCATGTCCCCCCGTCCCCGTGTCCGTCTGTCCAGGTGTCCATCCTCATGTCCCCATGTCCCCCCGTCCCCGTGTCCCTCTGTCCAGGTGTCCCCATCCTCATGTCCCCGTGTCCGTCTGTCCAGATGTCCATCCTCATGTCCCCGTGTCCCCGTGTCCCTGTGTCACTCTGTCCAGGTGTCCATCCTCATGTCCCCATGTCCCCGTGTCCCTGTGTCCCTCTGTGCAGGTGTCCATCCTCATGTCCCCGTGTCCCTGTGTCCCTCTGTCCAGATGTCCATCCTCATGTCCCCGTGTCCCCCCGTCCCTGTGTCACTCTGTCCAGGTGTCCCCATCCTCATGTCCCCGTGTCCCCGTGCCACCAGCAGTGACAAAGCACCCTCACGGCCCCATCTGGAGCGCGCTCACATCCCCGTGGTCCCCTCGGCCACCTCCTGCGGTGTCCCCTTGTCCCCGCCACCATCACCCAGAGCCCCCCTGAGGGTTTTTTGGGGTGCTCCGGGCTCGGGGGGTCGCGGTGCCCAGGTGGGATCTGCCCCTCCCAGCCCCACCCGTGCCCGCAGGTGCCCACCCAGGGCGGGGGCCACCATGGGACCCCCAGCCCGCGTCCCCCTGGCGCTGCTGCTGCTGCTGGCGGCCGAGAGGATGGCGAGGGGCACCTTCCCCGAGGAGCCCGGCCCCATCGCCGTGGCACCCCCGGACTGTGAGTGCCCACCCGGGGCTTGGAGGAGTCGGGGCGCTGCGTTGGGGGGCGCGGAGAGAAGTTTTGGGGTGATTTGGGGTGAAGGCGGGGAGGGGCACCCATGGGAGGGGGTTTGGAACTAAGATGGGACCACCCGTGGGCAGGGCTGGGGATTTGGGTGACTTTTGGGGGCAGCCATGGGAGGGATTTGGGGATTTTGGGGTGCTTTGGGGTGCTTTGGGGTTAAGGCACCCACGGGAGGGGGTTTGGAACTAATATGGGACCACCCGCGGGTGTGGCCATGGTTTGGGTGACTTTTGGGGACAGCCATGGGAGGGATTTGGGGGTTTTGGGGTGCTTTGGGGTGCTTTGGGGTGCTTTGGGGTTAAGACACCCACGGGAGGGGGTTTGGAACCAAGATGGGACCACCCGCGGGCGTGGCTGGAGTTTGGGTGACTTTTGGGGGCACCCATGTGAGGATTTTCGGGGTTTTGGGGTTAAGGCACCCACGGGAAGGGATTTTTTGGGGAGGTGCTGGGTATGGGGGACACTGAGGGTGACCCCCGCGCCCCCCCAGATGTGAAGCACTACCCCGTGTTCGTGGGTCACGGCAGCGCCCGCCCGGGGGGCCCCGAGGTGGGGGGAACCCAACGCCTCAACATCCAGCGCATCCTCAAGGTCAACCGGACCCTCTTCATCGGGGACAGGTCTGCACCCCGCACCCCAAAACCTGCACCCCACATCACCCCTCATTGCTGGAGCCMGCTGGGGGCACCCCAAGATCTCCCCTGGGGTATTTTGGGGGTGCCATCGGTGCTGTCACTGTCCCGGTGATGCCCATTGTCCATCCCAGCGCCCCAAATCTTCCCGGGGATGGGGGGTGGAGGGAGKATCTGCACCCCCAAAATGCCTCGCTGGGGG